AAATCGTATCTAGTTGAAGACATTACCCTTAAAAATTGAAAAAAATTCCCTCGTTCCCCGCAAATGGGGGAAATATCCAAAAAAATTACAAATTTAAAAATCGCTAATTTTTGAACTTTTTTACTTTTTTTTCTTAAAACTTCCATAACTTTTCGACAAATCAACAAATAATTTTTTTTATACTAAAACCTTAGATATTTTCCTTTCGTTTGATATCATTTTTTTGAAAATCTAACACTTAACCTGCTCATGGGGGGGGATTTAAAATTGCAACTTTTTTACAAAAACTAACTTTTTCAACTTAATTTTTGAAAATGTTCCGGAAATACTGCGTCCTTTAAACATATATCAAATTAAAGCTTATTTTATGTACTATAAAATGAAAAAAAAAAATTTGTCCCGACACTTTATCTTCTGCATGTAAACGGTTGCCGTAGTTAAAAAAACACTATTTTTGTGTTAAAATTTTCGATTTTCAATTTTTAATTTTCAACTTAAAAATGCTATAACTTTTCGAAAAATGCATGTATCAGCACAATTTTTTTTTTTCTAAATACATTATAAGTACATCTTCCATTTGACATACTTTTTATTAAAATTAGACAATTTCCCCTTATATAGGGGGGGTTCAAACTTTGAAACATTGTATAAAAAATAGAACTTTTTCAACTGAACTTTTGAAAATGTTCCGGAAATACTGCGTCCTTTAAACATATATCAAATTAAAGCTTTTTTTATGTACTATAAAATGAAAAAAAAAAATTTGTCCCGACACCTTATCTTCTATGTGCAAATGGCTGTCGAAATTATAAAAAAAATGTAATATTTGCGATAAAAATCACCTTTTATAACGATGTTTTTTGTACTTAAAACTGCCATAACTTTTTCAAATATTAACTAATCAAAATAATATTTCTTTATATTGAAACCTTAGGTAATTTTCTTTCATTTGATATCATTTTTTTTTGAAAATCTAACACTTATTCTGCTCACAGGGGGGATTTAAAATAGCAACTTTTTTACAAAAACTAACTTTTTCAACTTAATTTTTGAAAATGTTCCGGAAATACTGCGTCCTTTAAACATATATCAAATTAAAGCTTATTTTAGGTACTATAAAATGGAAAAAAAAATTTGTCCCGACGACCTTTATTCTATGCGCAAATGGTNTGTCCCGACGACCTATCTTCTATGCGCAAAAGGCTACCGTATTTAAAAATATGCTATTTTTTATTAAAATTCTAGGTTTTATATTTTATTTTATTTTAAAATATCTTATTAGGGGAATACACTGACTTTCATGAATATTATATAATTTAATTGACATAAANTGAATATTATATAATTTCATTGACATAGAATAAAGTTCATAAGACATATGATATTATACTTATTAACATTTTTTACTTTTTTAAAGTCGAAAAAGTAATTTTTAAATTTGAGTTAGCTTAAATAGCCAATTTTATCATGCAACAAAAAGCAACGAACAGTTGCCGAATGGATAACACCTCGATCTTTCACGCCTAGGGTACGAGGTTCAAATCCGTCTGTGGCTATTAATATTTTGCATTTTTTTTTTAGTTAGAATAGAATTGTCAAATCATTTGATATTTATTTCATTTAGATTCAATAATTTCAATAAATATAAAGGATCTTATCACTATAGTCTCCCCTCGCGAGAAGAAATTTATATTCATGTTAATATTATTTTAATATGTGGTTCTTTTTGTGGCTACGATTTATTTTGCCAACCCTCACTAGACCTACTTTTTTCAACGATACGTCAAATGATTCATTTAAGTTTATGATATTTAAGTTAATGGTTAGTTTAAGTTATTACTCTTAAAAATCGAAAAAATATTCCTTATTTAAATGAAAAGTAGCTTAAGCAGCTTTTTCCATACAAACAATTAAAATCATTAATTTCTAATATTCTAATATAAATGTATTCAACTACAAAAGTAAATAATTTTACTTTGTAATTTATTAATTTTTTTAACTCTATTTGTGTGTGCTACTACCAGTTTATAATATTCCAAATTTTTTTGTAACATGTTGCTATATAAATCATAAATTAAAAAAAAAAATGATTTTCAATTTTACCTGAATTTAACGATGGATTTTTACAATTATAATCAAATTTTATAATACGCTCAATTGAGTAAATCTTTTTAACAACTTTTTTTGTTGATTTTTTTAGATATATAATCATTAAAATTAGTTAAATTCTGAATATTTCCATTGTAGAATCTTTTTAAACGCCAAAAGTTAATTAGAAATTATTACTATTCTTTCTATTTCGGTTATCTATAACGATAAAAATGCAAAAAAATCGAAATTTTCTGAAAAATGTACTGTAAATAGTAATTATAAAATTTCCTGATTGCATATTAATCTTAACAATTTCTTTTTTTCAATTTAATAATGTCAATTTCAAACTTGCAAGTTGAACTATAAGTTATGGTAACAAATTCATTTTTTATCTTCAATGCGAAGCTGAGAAGGTATTTTTCATTAAAACTTTCACTTTAAAAGACAATAAAAAGTAGGTTCAAAATGATTACCTTTAACATATTAAAAATCAAAATCAGTATTAATTTAATACAATTTTTTTTGTTCTTAATTATTTTTTTTTATATGTAAATACTTATTTTTTAATAATAAGTAATAATATTAAAACTTAGAAGTAATAGAAAAAGTTTAATTGCACATTTGAAAACATCGCGATAAGTTTATTTAGAAAAGTAAATTTTTTTTTCTGATGAAAGTTCCTTTTGTTTAGTGTATTTATTCATAAGTAACAAAATTTTTTTATTAAAAAGTATTGCATCAATTCCTTTAAATTTGTATATGCATTAAAAGTATATGAATATACAACTCCTTTTTATTTTTATAATATCTCCGTAAAAATTACAATATTATATTATTGAATACCACTTTCATACTCAATTTAATTACTGTAATTATTATGTATTCATATATTATAGTTATAAATCGGGGTAAAATTAAGGGAATAAGTGTTATTGTTGTTTTTGAAATAATCTACCAATTTCATTTTTTTCTATTTAATGATATCTATTTCAAACTTGCAAGTTGAGTTAAAAGTTATGGCAATAAATTCATTATTTTTTTATTAAAACTTTCACTTTAAAGAACAAAAAGAAGTAGGTTCAAAATGATTACTTTTAACATATTAAAAATCAATAATAATTTGAAAATAATTAATTATAAAAATTATATAATATATAATTAAAATAATTACTAATCTGGATATAATTAAGGAAATAGGAGTTGATGTTGGGTTGGGTTGGTTACATTTTTAACTTTATAATGCTATAACTCATTGAAAAGTGTACGAATCAACACAATTTTTTTATGAGAAATAATATTTTTTAATAATCCCTTTTTCATTCGACATACTTTATCTTAATCAGGGTATTAATAAGGAACTTGCAGATCATGCAGCTTTTGTAATTATCCACCAATTTCTTAGAATTAAACACTATCTACTGATTTGCATCGAAGCGTTTCTTATGATAGTGATTTTAATCACTGTCAGATTAAATCTATACTGGACCCAACTATGCAACGTCCCCACTATGCCACGACTCCACTGTACTAGGTTTTTAGAAATAATTTTATAAAAACAATTGTGTAAAAGTATTATGTCAACTTTTCATGAAATTTATCATATATTATTATTTTCTCGAAGTATAATAATTATTACATATCAATTATTGATAAATACAAATTTTTGTTAGAACCTTTTTTAACAAAATAATAAGTTGGCAATAATAAGTTCTATAATTAAGGTTCTATATATTTTAACGTTAAGTGAAATACTTAAGTAGTAAGATACTACTGAGCTTTACTCCTCAGGGTTGTTATTTTGGCTAGGTTTATTATATTTGTAAGAAAATAAGAGACTGTATCAATATCACTATTACATTAAAATTAATTTTGTATAACATATTTTTTTTCAGGATAAGAAAATAGATTCTTAAACATTTTTGATACTGAAAATGGTTATAACACTATATATTCAAGTATTCTTTTGATAAATTTTTTTCTTGCATGCTGAAGGAACACATAATATAACATTACAGAACTGTGATAATTTTGAAAATAAGTGTCTCTAGAGAAAAATTGCAATATAATCCTGTCGTATGTTACTCACATGTTTTTATGTAAAAATGTCAAAAGACTGCGTTATTCATTATTATTTTAGCTTCGATACGAAGCTGAGAAGGTATTAATTTTACTATGATGTTTTTCTTTTCTGTGTGTCTATTATCACTCATTTTCAGATCTCACGAGACCGATTTCTTTCAACGATACGTCAAAGATTACTGATCATATTTAGTCGAAGAAATTACCCTCGAAAATTAAAAAAAATACTCTCTTTACTCATAAATGGGGAAAATCCCCCTAAAAAATTACAATTTTAAAAATTAGAATTTTCGACATTATTTCAATATTCTTTTTTAAATCTGACATAATATTTTTAAATATTAACAAATAAATATAATTTAATATAATTTAATTATAGATTAAATCTATACTGGACCCAACTATGCAACGTCTCCACTATGCCGCGACTCCACTGTGCTGGGTTTTTCTTTCAGTAATCTTGCGCGATCTAAATATTTAAATAAAGTGATTGAATTTAGAACAACTGATTTTGTTCTTCATATTTAATGAATTTGTAATTACAATTCTCCATTAACTTGACTCTTAATTTAAATTTTATAATTTTTGGTATTTTATGCAAACATTGTTCAAAACGTAACAACTCTGTTCCTTTTTCCATTCAAAAATAAATACATTTTGTTAACATTTATTCACCTGAATAAACAGTATAATTTTTGCTAGTTTTACTATTATAGTATCCAAAAAAATATTGATATCACCATTACATTGAAATAAATATTATATGACAATTTCTACTATCAGTATATGAAAATAGATTCTTAAACTTTTTAAAAATGAAAATCTCAATAATACTAAATATTCAAGTGTACTTTTGTATATTTTTCACTTTTTTGCATACTGAAGGAACACGTAATATAAAAAGCAACGTCGATATAATAACCAATTTACTACATCAACCTGGATGGAAAAATATAAATGATGTCGAATATATTACTTATAGGAGCAATGTGTATACATTGAACGATGTGCTTAATAAACCTGTAACATTAGTGAACTGTGACAATTTTATACGTTATGCAACAATATTCCTTGGATGTTCTTATTCAAATGATTTACATACAATATTCAATACATTTTTCAAATTTCAAGAATATTGTTATAAGCTACTCTGTTCTGGTAAAATTAGTGCACACAATTGTACAGTCAAACTTTTAGAAAAAATGATTGAATTTGTTCCGATGGCAAAATTTATGAAAGGAGCTTTATATGCTATAGAAAAATATCACAATAAACCTTTGAATACTCAAAAAAAATTCGGGTTTTTACTAAGTAAAGTTCTTACAAATTTACAGAAAAATGAATCTTTAAAGAAAATGTTTCCTTTGAAAAACAATAAGGACTCTATTAAAACTGCATTAGTAAATATCACGGAAATTTTACAAACTAGTCATTATGAACTCAATGATGATATTTATTTATGTAAAATAAAACAATTAGGTTTTTCTTCTTTGTGGAATTTTTGGATTAACGAATATGTCACGCTAAAATGTCCAAGAAAACACGAAGAATTTATTATTTTTCTAAGTGATAAAATAAACAATTTATTTCTAACGACAATCTGGAAAAAGTATGTTGAACTTGGATTTAAATTTGATTCAAACACCAGTGAAACCTTTTTACCTGCTCTACCTCATACCAATGTCAAGCAAGGTATAACTTTTTAAACATAGTAAAATTTATTTGATATTGTTTGTTGTTAACATGTTTAGGAGGTATCGCACAAAATAGTTTCTTAAATATGACACAACATACCAATGAAGTAGATATGATGGAAAATATTCAACAAAAAAGTAAGGTTTTGTAGATACATATAATTATAATTAAAATGGGTTTTAAATTATTTTAAAAATTTATTTGTCTTTTGGGTTTCAATGAAATTTTAAAAATAACTTTACTACTTAAAATGAATTAGGTTACAAATATTTAACTATTTAAAACCTTTTAATATTTTTAGATATCGTACAAAATACTTCTATTCTACATAATGGTAATGATTTCTTAATATAATAATGTACATATATTTTATAATTTAAATAGATTTAAAATTTTATATTTCTTCTTTGTTTAAAAAAAGTTTCTAATTAAGCTAAAAACCATTTTTAGCTTCGATGCGAAGCTGAGAAAGTATTAATTTTACCATGATGTGTTTATTTATTTATTTTTTTTTGTGTCTGACACTACATTTTCTCAGCTCTCACTGGATCGATTTTTTTCAACAATACGTCAAAAAATCACAAATCGTATCTAATTGAAGATATTACCCTTAAAAATTGAAAAATTTCCCCTCATTCCCCGTAAATGGAGTAAATTCCCTAAAAAATTACAAATTTAAAAATCGTAAAATTTTGTCTTTTTTGTTACTTTTTTTTCTTAAAACTTCTATAACTTTTTTAAAAATCAACATAATTTTTTTTTATTCTAAAACCTTAAATATTTTCCTTTCATTTGATATCATTTTTTGAAAATTTAGCACTTAACCTGCTCACTAAGGGGGATTTAAAATAGCAACTCTTTACAAAAACTAACTTTTTCAACTTAATTTTTTAAAATGTTCCGGAAATACTGCGTCATTTAAACATATCAAATCAAAGGTTATGTCATTTAGTATAAAATGAAAACAAAAAATTTGTTCCGACACCTTATCTTCTATGCGCAAATGGATACCGTATTCAAAAATATGCTATTTTTGTATTAAAATTTTGGGTTTTGTATTTTATTTTATTTTAAAATATCTTATTAGAGGAATACACAGACTTTCATGAATATTATATAATTTAATAGACATAAAATAAAGTTCATAAGACATAAGAAATTAAACTTATTAATTTTTTACTTTTTTAAAGTCGAAAAAGTAATTTTTAAATTTGAGTTAGCTTAAATAGCCAATTTTTTCATGTGACGAAAGCAACGAACAGTTGCCGAATCGGTAACACTTGTCTCTTTCATGCTTAAGGTATAAGGTTCAAAAAATTCTCCTGTGGCAATATATATTTTGCATTTTTTTTGAGTTAAAAAATTTTTCAAATCATTTGATTTTTATCTCATTTAGATTCAATAACTTCAATAAATATCAAGGATCCCATCACTGTAATCTCCCCTCATGAGAAGAAATTTCTTATTCATGTTAATATAATTTTACTATGTGGTTCTTTTTGTGGTTACAATTTATTTTGCCAACCCTCACTAGACCTACTTTTTTCAATGATACGTCAAATGATTACAGTTTGTATTTAGTTTAAGTTATTACTCTTAAAAATCGAAAAAATATTCCTTATTTAAATAAAAAGTAGCTTAAGCAGCTTTTTCCATACAAACAATTAAAATCATTAATTTCTAATATTCTTAAAGTATTCATTGTCGAATTAGATTTGATATGGTAAATGTATTCAACTACAAAAGTAAATAATTTTACTTTGTAATTTATTAATTTTTTTAACTCTATTTGTGTGTGCTACTACCAGTTTATAATATTCCAAATTTTTTTGTAACATGTTGCTATATAAATTTAAATTTAAAAAAAACGGTAGCACAGTGGGGTCGCAGCACAATATGGACAACTCATAAATGGGACGAGTATAGATGATATATGACAGTGATTAAAATCACTATCATAAGAAACGCTTCGATGCAAATCTGTAGACAGCGTTTAATTTTAAAAAATTGATGAATAATTACAAAAGCAACATTAACTTCTATTTCCTTTATATTTATTTAGATCCTTTATATTTATTGAAGTTGTTGAATCTAAATGAGATAAATATCAAATGATTTGAAAATTTTATTCTAACACAAAAAAAATACAAAATATTAATTGCAACAGACGGATTTGAACCTCGTACCCTAAGCGTGAAAGACACAGGTTTTCCCATTCGGCAACTGTTCATTGCTTTCGCTGTTTGGTAAAATTGGCTATTTAAGCTAACTCAAATTTAAAAATTACTTTTTCGACTTTAAAAGAGTAAAAAAATTTTAATAAGTTTAGTTTCTTAATTTTAAATTTTAAATTCTTAGATTTAAATCCCCCCCAATGAGCAGGTTAAGTGTTAGATTTTCAAAAAAAATGATATCAAATGAAAGAGAAATATCAAAGGTTTTAGTATAAAAAAAAATTATGTTGATTTGTTTATTTTTGAAAAAGTTATGGAAGTTTTAAGAAAAAAATGACAAAATTTACCGATTTTTAAATTTGTAATTTTTTAGGGAATTTACTCCATTTGCGGGGAATGAGGGGAAATTTTAAAATTTTTAAGGGTAATGTCTTCAACTAGATACAATTTATGATCTTTTGACGTATTGTTGAAAGAAATCGGTCCAGTGAGAGCTCAGAAAAAGTAGTGACAGACAAAAAAAAAAAAAAAAAAGCAAAATTAATACCTTCTCAGCTTCGCATTGAAGCTTAATAAGTTTAATTTCTTATGTCTTATGAACTTTATTCTATGTCAATTAAATTACATAATATTCATGAAAGTCAATATATATTCTCCTAATAAGATATTTTAAAATAAAATAAAATACAAAACCTAGAATTTTAATAGAAAAATCGTATATTTTTTAATACGGCAGCCATTTGCGCATAGAAGATAGGGCGTCGGGACAAATTTTTTTTTTTAATTTTATAGTACCTAAAATAAGCTTTAATTTGATATATGTTTAAAGGACGCAGTGTTTCCGGAACATTTTCAAAAATTAAGTTGAAAAAGTTAGTTTTTGTAAAAAGTTGCTATTTTAAATCCCCCTTGTGAGCAGAATAAGTGTTAGATATTCAAAAAAAAATGATATCAAACAAAAGGAAATTACCTAAGGTTCCAATATGAAAAAATATTATTTTGATTTGTTAATATTTGAAAATTACATATTCTTTACGAAATACAATAAGATATAAATAAATTTTGTTTTATTCTTTAATCTTAACCTTTAGCCGAAGAGTATACAAGAAGAAGACATAAAAGAAATATTATATTTGCAATAATATTTTATTATGTGTGTACAATTTCGTAACTCTCTTTAATAATTTATTTTTGTTCAAAATTAGATGTCATATGTGAAACGGAACCTGAATCGGGCGAACTAATTGAATATCCTAATCATTTATTACCATTTAATAGGTATCTTTAAGTTAACTTTTTTGTGCTAAATTTTTATTATAATTACATTATTATTTATAATTATTATGTTAATTTAATGTTTAAGCATGATTTAAATGTTTTCTCAATTAATTAATATTAACTATACATTTAATTAGTATACTCAAAAATTTGTGTTACTTAAATATTTACATTAAATTTAATCAGTTGAAATAATAGAAAATTATATAATTAAGAAAATGACGAAACAATAAAAAGTTTGAAATAGTATTACAGAAACTATAAACATTTTTATACCTTGGCGGGAGATTGAGTACAGCTGAGAATAAAGTTGGCACTCTTTTAAGTTGTAAGAAATGATATCTAGAAGTAGGTTTGGATAGATTAGGTGAGCTACTGAGAAAATTTCAAAAGCCCTCTTTAATTTAATAGCCTTTGCAAATATTATAATATCATGTGAAATCACCTGAACTGTGAATTGTAGATCTGAAATTTTTTTAATGTGTTATTAATGACTCGAAAATGATAAAGTTTACTCATTGTTTACATCAATAAACTTAGTAGTTTCTTTAAAAACTATAAATAATATACACCTAAAATGTCGGTTTTCATGAGAAAATGTTTAAAGTTTTTACAGGAACTTCTTATAAGTATGTCTAAGATGTGACAAAAATTTAATGTAATATTCGTTTTTAACATAATTATTTTTTATTATTTGGTAGAATTTGTTTTAATAAACACAAAACATCCATCTAAAATGATTATGAAGAAATAAAATTAAATAATATTAAAAAATATCCCAATTTTAAAATAATATCTGGCAAGAGGTTGAGCGAAACATGTTTTAAAATATTAAAGATATCATGATGTATTCCGTGAAATTATTAAACATTCTTGTTTAATTTAGCTATAAATTGTTTTTATTCAATTTGTTCATCATTATGTTAAATGTTTTAAATAAAAAATAGATACAAGTTACAATAGTCTTAATAACTATAGTTTTTCGTCTAATAAACTTAGATTTATTATATTGTATAATTATTCACATTATGAACATTGTTACAATTTATTTCTAATCTTAAACATGTAGATCAAATCAATTATTAGATAAAAATATGAGTGTATAAATTATTTCAAGCGAAACTAGATAATTTTTTTTTAAGTTATGGTACAATTCATTTTGTTTATCTATTTACGCAAGTGTACGCAGTTGATATTTTTGATAGTTACTTTATTAGTATGAAAATAAGAGAATTTATTCATATTACCATTACATTGAAAAAAAATTGTATGACAATTATTTTTTCAGTATAAAAATATCGATTCCTAAACATTTTTAAAATGAAAATCTCAATAATGCTAAATATTTAATGTATATTTTTCACTTTTTTAATACTGAAGGAACACCTAATAAAAAGTAAACGTCGAAATAATAAATAATTTACTACATCAACCCGGATGGAAAAATATAAATAATGTCAAACATATTATTTGTAGGGGTAAACAGTATAAATTCAGGATATGATTAAAAATCTTATAATAGTTTATAATTACGATAATTTAATTCGTAAAGCAACAATATTCCTTGGATATTCTTATGCTAATGATTTAAATACAATGTTCTATACATTTATAAATTTCAAGAATATTGTTATAAGCTACTTCGTTCTGGTAAAATCATTGCACAATTGTACAGTCAAACTTTTAGAAAAAATGATTGAATTTGTTCCGAGAGCAAAATTTATAAAAGGAGCTTTATATGCCATAGAAAAATATCACAATAAGCCTCTGAACACTCAAAATAGAGTCCGGTTTCTACAAAGTGAAGTTTTTACAAATTTACAGAAAATTGAATCTATAAAAAAATTGGTTCCTCAGGAAAATAATAAGGACTCAATTAAAACTGCGTTATTGACCACCGCAATCATTTTACAAACTAGGTATTATGAACTTGAAGAAGATGTCAACTAAAGACCTTAGATATTAAGTTATTGTGGATTATTTGGAACAACGAAGTCGATACATTAAAGTCTCAAGGAAAATATGAAGAGTTTTTCATTTTTCTTAGTGTTAAAATTATCAATTTATTCCTAATGACAATCTTGAAATAGTATATTGAACTTGGATTTTAATTTGAATCGAACACAGGTCAGACCATTTTAGCTGCTCTATCTACTCCTGTCAAGCTAGGTATTACTATTTAAGCAATATTAAATTTATTTGAATTATTTTTTTGTTAAAATATTTCAGAAATCGCACAATATCCTTCTATAAATTTAACAAAAATCACCAATGAAATAGATATACAAAATACGATTTTTCTGAATCTCTTCTTGTATATCTACTTCATTTTTCAATTTTTTTTTGCCATTGAATGAAATAGAAATAAATATTGTGTATAAAACAGAATTAAAAATTTTAAACATTAACTTTATTACTTTAAACAAATTTATTTAAAGTAGCTTAATAAGATTTTAAAAAAAAGTAATTGATTTACAATGCTTAAAAAAAAAAGATAATTAAATTGGGATTTTGTGGATTCATGAAAATGAGATGCAGAAATTTTAGTAATTGAGGAAGTAAAAAAACATGATGAATAATAGTAAGATATTAGGTGAATTGCTATAAAAAATAAAAACAATAATTACATTTATTACATTTATTCTTACTTTTTAATTATTGTAAAATACATAATATACTATATTATATATAATTTTCAAACACAAAATCATAAAAATAAATTTTGTTTTGTTTTTTTTTTTATCTTAGACCTATAGACGGACAATACTCAAAACTTAAAAGAAACATTATATTTACTAAAATATTTAGTTATGTGTCTATAATAGCTTAATAAGGTTACATTTTTTAAGAACAATATTAGTTCTAATTCATATTTTTCTTTGATGACTCCTTTCCATGTGATTGTTATGGCTATTTTGTTCAATTGTATACTTTTATTATTCTAGAATAATATATGCTATAATTATTGTTATAAATAAAGTTATCGGTTACCTCTCTGGTGAAGCAAGGATTTTTAAAAGTGCTAAGCCTCCCATTAATTACACATGATGATTCAAACTAACTAATGGAATATTCTGATTATATGAATAAACCATTTAATATGTATTCTTAGATTAATTTTCTTGTACTAAATTTGTATTATAATTGCATTACTATACAGAATAAGTGTGTTATTTTAATTTATATAATTACTAAGAAAACAAAATTAATTATTATTAACAATACATTTTGTCAGTAAAGTTAAAAAATGTATGCAAGTTGTATTTTTTCACTAATAATAATAATAAAAAACAGAGCACAAAAATTTAGAATTTTACAAAAAATAACATTTTTAAACAATTTAATTTTGTTAAAGTTAACACTGTAACAATAGTTGAATTCAACATAAATGAACAATCCACGTTAACAAAAGTTCAAACAAATATGATAAAAATTAAAATCAGCGTTATAGAGTTAGATTAGTATTGACTGAATTCCGACAGTGAATGAAATCGCTATCGTAAAACAATTTGATGTGCATTGAAAGATATTTAAAAAAATCATATTTATCATATTCATGTATTATAATATATAGTAAATATTAACAAAAAAATAATATATGCTTTAAAATGAAAAACGTTTCAGTAACTTTGTTAAATAAAAGTCAAATAAAGTAAATAAAAGGAAAAAAAGTTTAAAACTTGAATATAAAACAAGTTTTCAAAAATCTTTCCCTTTTTTAGTTGTATAGTAATAACCTAACCAGTTTTTAATAAGTTATTTTGAGATAAAGTAAGAACTAATAATATTAACATTGATTATTAACAATAAAGAAAAGGAAAAAGAGTTTTCAAAGACGGTAAAAAAAGGACGGTATGGAACGTTACGAAAGATATAAATGATGCGTGAATTATATTTACTGAATACTGCAAAGGTGATTATTAGTGAAAGTAAGAGGAGAATGCCAGGAAATAAGAAAATTTGGTAGTGGGATGAGAACGTTCAGAAAATCATAGAAAGTAAGAAAAATTAGTTCATAGTAAGTCAGAAGAGCAAAAGGAGTTAAGATTGGATGGAGTATAAACGCTTATGAAAAGAAGCCAAGTGTACGGTAAGGCGAAGTTTTAAGAGGTATAATGAGTTATATAACAAGCTTGGAACAAAAGAAGGTGAAAAAGAAATCTATGGAAGTGCAAAAATAAGAGAATAAAGCAGAGAACGAGTGTAGCAGAGATAAAAATGCTTAGATAAATGAGTGAAGTAACTAGAGAAGAAAGGATAACGAACGAACTTATAAGAGGGACAGTATGGCTGAGTCAGTAACGCGGCAATGTTTGACGCGCACTGCCTGGAGTTCGAAACTCGGTCACGGACGACTTCATTTGTCAAACAAGAAATCAGTTCAGTAATTGGAGTCACCATCCTTTTCTCCGGCGACAGACTAACCACCCGCCTCCCCCAAAGAAGGAGTTTTCTTAACTATTTATACTCCGGGTCTTAAGAGCCATGGGCCTCGATAATGGGCTGATAAAGCGATAAAAAAAAATATATAAGAGAATAAAGGGAATATAGGTGTACCATCAATTGTGGATAAGATGTTAGAAAATAGACTTTAATGGTTTAGCCATGTTATGAGGAGAAAAAAATCAGAAGTTGTAAGAACTGTTATGGAAATAAATATTGAAGGAGGAAGTGGAAAAAAAAGATCAAAAGAGATGTTATTGCATGTGATATGAGAACGGCTGATGTGGTAGATCTTGTCAAATAAAAGTTTAAGTAAGAGTGCTCGATGCAAGTAGTTGGGATAAAGGCAAAAAAAAAGAAGTAGAGGATGAAGAGGAAAATTTATTAATAACTGTAATTTTATGGAACACTTCTCTTTGTGGTGGAAATTGAAGTTAATTCTTCAAAATATCGCCATTAATAACTTCAACTAGTACGATTTGTTATATTTTGATGTATCGTTGTGCAAAATAATTAAGATATAAACATTTTTATATTAAAATAATAATAAATGTGTTATGTTAAAAATCGTTTTAACAATTAAAGTGAAATCTATAATAGCATTTACAGTGGTTTTATCATTATTATAATCTTGCTTATTATTATCATACTTTACTTTCATTATTTACTTTAATAGTACTCAGAACCAAAATCCTGCACTTACTTTTAAAATATTAAATGTACAACTTTGAAAACGATTTTTTCAGTTCCTTCAATAACCAGTAAAAATTCACCTAGAAAATTTTTGTTATGAGATTTTGTATAATTATATACAAAGTAACCTTTGAAAAACTTTTTTTTTCAAGACATTTGGAGGGATTTATTATTTTTACACAATTAAAAGTATTAAACAAAGATGCTACAAAAAAATTAAATTTTAATAAAAAATTTTTATATCACCTGAAACATTAATTTAAATTATAAATAAAATATTAGTTACTAATGTAAAATTATACTACTAGGCTTCGCCTAGCTGAGACTCTGGTCCAGACCTGAGCCCTACGAGCCTCACGTGACTTCGGCGCGTAAGTCGCTTTGGGCCATCCTCGTAAGTAGGCCACTGATTCCAGTAGGAGTATCCGACTACGCCGGACACGATAAGTGTTTTACAAGAAAAATATTACAACAAAATCAGTGTAGCAAAAACTCAGCACAATGAGATCGAGGCACAGAGGGGACGTGGTCCAGTATAGTTTTAATCTGACAGTGATTAAAATCACTACCATAAGAAACACTTCGATGCAAATCTTTAGATAATGTTTAATTCTAAGAAATTGGTGGATAATTACAAAAGCAATATCAACTATTTCCTTAATTATATCCAGATAAGTAATTCCTAGATTCAAAAATATAATATAAAATTGTATATTATATAATTCTTTTCAAATTCTTCTTCTTCTTCCTCGCCTTAATCCCAACTACTTGTTGTAGTTCTCAAATCTC